GGTCCTCAATCTTTTTTAACATCTTTTTAAAATTCACTCTGCCACAGCCACAGGCGTATGGTTTTGAGTCCAGCATATAATACAGTTGTAAGTTACAGAAATGGGTAGTTAAGTACTTTGTGCCGTGGTTGATGTACTGTTATATATGGCTGTAGGTGTCTGTCTGCCCCTTTCACTCCCAAAGATGCCATTTATATGGCATAAAAGGGTTTGCCTAAATAATAAAAGGCTAAAAATGCTGGTGTATGGCCATGCTGGTGTTGCCAATTAAAAAAAGAATCCTCTTTGGTTTTTCATGATTTTTGCATACACTGTACAGTATATAAGGCAAGGCTTTCTTTGTCAGAAGCACATATAGTCAGATTTTGTGTTTTAGACCAGAGGACTCATCAGGTTTAAAAATGTTTACATTTTTCAAAAATGAAATAAATATTAGGACTGTTGGGTACCTTCTTATCATTTGTATGCCTTGATATGCAGTTCAGGATCTGTCTGGCTTTTGATTCCAAGGCTTTTGAGCTGGGCTCTGCTGATTCTTCTCGTGAATCACATGGATGTGCACCTTGCAGCTCATATTAGGATATTTAATAAAAAGTGCTGTGAATTATGTGAAACACCATCCTGGAAAGCGTGTCAGAAAAGTGCCTTGTCTTACGATTCAGGGAGAGCAAGATCTCGTCCTCAGAGAAGATGAGGATCGGCGGCACTTCGGAGATGGCCTGGATGCAGATCTGCGAGCCCAGCGACAGGGAGAAGGGCCATTACACCATCGAGATCCTGGACGGCACCACGTCACACACGCGCACCTTCGATCTCTCTGGGCAAGGTGGGGACCTTTTAAGCAGCACTGTATAAGGCATTAAAAACAATGACCCTAGTAATGAACCTGCCCCATCTCAGTGAATTAAAACGAGTTTTATCTGAATTGCCCAATAGACAGCTTCACTATCTTATAATGAACCCAACTCTGTATATTAATGAAATACTCTAGATACTTTCTGATAGTACTAAAATATCTCTTAAGCTTACATTGTCGGCCACATTTTGTTTAGATAGCATTCCGGAGGACTCGTTCTTGACACATGTATTATCATTACAGCATACAATGAGGCACACGCGGAGTTTCAGAGGCTGAAGTAAGGCACCCATCACATTTGCTATTATCCGTTAAAAAGCAAAGAATTCCCCATCTGCTTTTATATCCACAATGACCTGTAAACTTTGACGCTTTCTCACTGTGTTTTCCATTTCTTTCCAGGGCAGCAGCGTTTGCAGAAAAGAGTAAGCATCCAGACAGCACTGCATTTACAGAGGGGCCCTGGTTTGTTATATGTGTAAAGTGAAACCTTTATGCTGCTTGTTTGCATATTCAGATCGCGGCAGAGTGGTCGGCGGACTCCCTGATGTCGTCACCATCATGGAGAAGAAGGTAAAACAGCCATTAATTGATTTTTATTGATTCATGCAGACGTCAGAGCTTATGGATCAAATCTGTACCTATAGCTACTTGAGTCTGCCAGGGTTCCACCTGTGTGGAGTTTGTATGTTCTCTCCATGTTGTTGTGGGGTCTGCTCTGGTTACTCCGGTCCCCACCCACAGTGCAAAAACAATGAGGGTCATTACAGTTACCAAACTGTCTGTAGGTGTGTGTGAGTGGATGGCGTGTGAGTGAACAGGATAAGTGGTTTCAGATGATGGATGTTCAATATGGAAATCATATAAATACTGGCTGTGATCTTGGCTGGTGCTAGAGAGCTCAAAGACCATCCAAAGTCATTTAAATCAGGAGTGTGGGAACATTTTGGATTCCTAATAAGTTACATCAACACTGGAGAGAGTGCATCTGATAAGACCAAGATTTTCTGTTGCTGGAAACACGTCCAACATAACTCAGCTAACTCATTAGAGACGGCGTCATGCGAGTGTGGGTACGTCTGGAGCAGGGCGGAAAGAGCCTCTGCAAATTAGTGTCCCTTTGGCATTTAAGGCGCTTTTGGCAGGAAATTCAGAGCAGGCAAAAAAAGAATTACTAAGGTTGTAGGAATATGTGACCATAAACGGTATAACAGGGGATTTAGTTCCTTATGATTGTTATGATCCTGTCATACTTTTGAATTTTTGTCTTACATATTTATTTTTATTGTGGAAACAAGCATCTCTGAGGATTTTTTGTTTAGACATGTCAACAGACAGATTGTCACATGTTTGTTTACAACTGTGCCTATATTGTGTTTGCATTTTAAATAATAAATAGAAATAAAAAAAATAATAATAATAAATAAATAAATAGTTTGGAAAAACAAATTGCACCAAACCGTGAACCCAAGCAGGTTCCTTAATTGAGACGGTGCTGGAAAAATCTCTGCACATGTTTGCTCATTCATGATAATAAATATATTAGAAGTAACAAACGTGACCAACATAATTACAGTAAGCTACATTTGAAATCACATGTAAAAATCAAATTCTCTTGTGGCGATATAAAAATTGCCACCTCAAAAGAATTGCGATTCTGTAGCAGAATTGATCTCCTGTCCACCTCTGCTGTTTACCTCTGTCATTTTAAAGCTATGCAAAGGATACATTTCTTCATACAACAATATCTGTGAACATAACATTTCTTTTGTTATTATGCACACTGGACATTTAGCTATAAAGATAAGGTATTTGCATTGGCTCTGATTATCCATGGTGTATTAACAGTCTTTATTGTGCAGTGAGCAGCTGTAGTAGCCATTAAGGCAGGGGTCTCCAACTCCGGTCCTGGAGAGCTACTATACAGCAGGTTTTCTATCCTACCTGGCTTCTGATGAGCCACACCTGTTCTCAGGTAAATACCAGGCCAGGTGTGGCTCATTAGAAGTCAGGTAGGATAGAAAACCTACTGGATAGTAGCTCTCCAGGACCGGAGTTGGAGATCCCTGCATTAAGGTCTCTGGCCACCTTCTAAATGAAACGACCTTTGTCTCACTGCCTTCTTTGTAGACTTTGAGCCTGACCTGCACCATATGGGGCGATCCCACCCCTGAGGTCACCTGGTTCAAGAATGAGCAGGAGGTGATTCCTGATGACCACATTTTGATCTCCTTCGAGGGGGGAAAGTTTTCAAGTCTTACCATCAAATGTGTGACCTCCGAAGACTCCGGGAAGTACAGCATCAACGTGCGGAACAAGTATGGTGGCGAGTTTGTTGAGATAACTGTAAGCGTCTATAGGCAGGGTGAAGAAATCCCTGAGCCAAAACTGGGACAGAGGCCCGGGGGGGCCGTAGCCGCCAAATCCTCCCCCCAAGCATCTCAGCCCGCTAAGTCCCCGATGCCCCCACCCCAGAGTGCTAAATCCCCCACTCCCACTCCCTCGGTCAAGTCCCCCACTCCCTCTAGTGGCGCGAGGTCCCCCACCCCGCGCCAGGAAGCCAAGTCGCCCACCCCCCCCAGAAACGTGAAGTCCCCCACTCCCCCCAGGAGGAAGTAAAAGGGAAATGTGGGGGCAGCTATGCGAAGAAAGGCATGAGAAAAGACAGGAGAATTAGAATCATAAATTAATTGAAAGAATGAAAAGATGAATCTGAAAAGTAGCATGAGAAAGACGTAGAGTGCACCTCCTCAGTTATTGAAGTGTCTGAATTCACATATAAAATAAAAAATTAGAAAAGTAAGAAAAGTTTTATTGGTTTCTTGAATCAGTCTTAAAAGCTGTAAATCAAGTTTGCCACCAGAGTCTGAGATGAGTCATGTGCTTATGTAGGCTAAATGTGCTTATTCTAGCAGATTCTTCCACCGGAAGTTAACCTGTCACCTCTCCAGATAAACAAACACAATTACCTGGTGCCAGTTCCCTCCTACTTTGTGCCAATAAAGCATTTGAATCACCCTCCCTGTGTTTTCTGATGTTGTCTCTCCGTAGATGACAGTTTCCATATTACTGTTTAAAGTGGTGGAATGAAAATGCATGTTAGAATAAATGCTGTGTAAATCAGAAACTGGGAATGCAGCTTACAGAGGCAGCCAGCAATCAGCACTCCTCATGTAAAACCTCTCACTTTACAAACTGATGTCTGCTTATAACGATTTAATGTCATGTAACACATTTCACATTTTTGACAAACACTGCCTTAAAAAAGGTCTTAAAATGACAAAGGGTTATGTGAAACTTTATGTTATATTTAAAAATGAATTAAACTAATGTTATATTCTGTAGAATGCACAGAATCATTGTCATTTATGTGAGCAGCAAAATCTTCATGCACAAACAAAAGCTGTATTTTGTTTTACTTTTTGTTTAAGCACTGTTTGAAGTCTTTAGTTAATTTTATTTGGAGAGGGCTTTCAGTCATTCTGACGCAGTTATAAGTCATAAACAACAAGAATGTAATGCTAAAAAAGAAAACATGTCTATGCATTGCATTAAGTTGTTGACAATTGCACATCTCATGTATGTAACATGCTACTGCAACAGAGTAACTGGTAGGATCTTCCAGGTAAGGCATTAATATACTGTACTATTTGTTTTATAGAAACACAATAGACACAAAAGAAAATAATTTTATATATCCTGTAAAAATTACAATTTTTACCTAAACTTTGGCCGCAAACGATATTTGTGTCATAAGATAACAACAAAATTAAAAAACAGTAAGATAACAGTAACTTGTGCCTGTTTTCGATGCACTGCATGTACTTTCTGGAATATAAGCAGAATCACACAGAAGAGCTGAGCAGAGTTTTTCATCGTAACACAATGACTTACTGAGTGATTATTCTGCAGCCTGTTATGTTGTTTGGACAGTTTGTACAACTGAAGCCACATTCTGACAGGCAACAGCTGCGGTGTATTGGTGCCAGTGCCAGTGCCGCAGGGCAAACTGGGGGGGGGGGGAGGTTCCTCTTTCTTCGGCATTGTATTGGGTCACTATAAAATGTTACGCGATGTGAGAGTGTTACCCTGATCTCTACCCACCTGTACTGCGCTGGACCATTTTGACAGGCATATAGAACAGAATGAACGAAGCAGGGGATTCCAGTCTGAAGGTAGAGTTTCTGAGCACGGTCATGTGACGTTTTACCCTTTAGGACAGTTTTGTAGAAGAATGTATGTATGTCTTATATATGTCCCATGTGTTTCGCACAATATAATAAACAATGAGGCATATTAAAATCAGGTAATGGAGAAATCTAGAAGGCGTGATATTTTTAAATCTACATTTATGAAACAAAATGATTGTTAGCAAACAAAAATTGGTCAAATGTAAAGTTAGCTGTATTGTAATGGCGTCTTGACAGGAGTAAGACCCGATGTCTTTATAAAATAACATTAAAACACTACGGTAAACACTTAAGTTGTCAGATGTCGTAGTTTAAACTGACCAATTTTTATTTATCAGACATACAAATCATTTTTGTAGTTTTGGTAGTAACTGGTAAGTCCTTTTAAAACTTGCCGCTGATTTCCAGACGTCCCCGATCCAGCCGGGTGGTCACCCACACCACCCCCGTCCCAGTACAGACTCTCCTGAGATTTCACACAGGTGTGAGGCGCTGTTCACTGTACAGCCCAGTGTGAGGCGTCCAGTGGATGAAAATGTCACAGGAGAGGATAGTGGCACCTCACAAGGTAGTCAGCTACTCGGTACGCACTCTGTGATCCAGCGGCATATAAAGGGAGAGCATGGATGTGGGTACCCTAGAGTCTCATAGCGTCTCTCCTTCCTACTCAGCCATTGCACACATAAAGCAGGTGATGACCAAGGACGCCATCAGCCTGGTCCGCTTTGAGGCCTCAGATCTACATGGTATCTCCCGCTCCAAGATGGTCCCGGCCCACCACTTCCATGTGAGTGATTCTCAGCTGCAGTGTAATTGGGAAGAGATTCCTTTTAAGCAGTGTCTGGAAAGGCTTTGTGGCTGGAAAGGTTGAGAAGCCCTGCATTAAATCAGACTCAGGTTAACATACTGCAACTGTAGGGAAGCGTTTGCTTTTACTTCTTCTTTAAGATAAGGTGTTTGAAGAATCATATCTGAAAAAACATTGTTTTTTTTAAAAGATTACGGTTTAAAATATGTTTTGAATAAATCTAATTTTTCATCCCAGCAGCATTTTTTTTGTGTCATTTTTGGTTTTAAGATGCACATTCAGATAAATACATGTACAGTATATGGATCTGTCCATAATGCACACTCTCCTTCTCAGGAGAAAGCCCTGCATGGAGTGGCTGTCCCAAGGAGCTGTCTGGAACTGACCCTGAGTCCTCAGGACAATGAAGTGGATCACATGACTGCAGCTGGCTTCAGCAGCGACGTGCTCCTTGTCCCCGACCTCCTGACGTTCAGGAGTCTGCCCTGGGCCGCTCAGACGGCTCGGGTGATTTGCGATTCCTGCTCCATCACCGGGCTCCCTCTGAAAACCGCACCCCGCCATGTGGCCAGTCAGGTCCTGGCCCAACTCCACAGCTTGGGTTTCTCTCTGCGGGCGTCTTTCTCCTACGAGTGCTGCATCTTCAGCGTGCCTGAGAAGATCAGCTCCAAGACGCTCCTCTTTCCAGGCGCGACCCTGTTGAGCAATGACCTGCCTTTTTTCCACCTGCTGGTCAACAGCATGTACCTCATGGACGTCGACGTCGACAGCTTCGCCACAGCCAGCGGGCCGGGCCAAATCGAATTTTCACTCCGTCCCGAGTCTGGGATCCGTGCCGCTGATAGCGCCTTCACGTTTCGCACCGGCATGAAGGAAACCGCACGCAAGCAAGGCTACCTTGCGAGCTTCCTCACCAACAGTAGTTTCTACAACTGCGGAGTTTTCTCTCACAGCGTCTGGGATGCGGCTAGGAAGAGGAACCTTTTCCATTCTGCTGGTGGGCAGCTGTCAGAGATCGGAAGTAAGTGGCTGGCTGGGCTGCTCCACCACTGTGCCGCCTTAAGCTGTCTCTCAGCACCTAGCGCCACCTGCCGGCGATGGCTCGCTAAGGCAGCCAAGGAGCCCCAACAGGCTGCCTACGCTACCTATGGGTGCAACGACAACAGCTGCAGCTTCAGCGTGAAACTCCACGGCGACAAAGGGACGCGAATAGACAGCATGCTGGGCTCGGCCATGGGGAATCCCTACATCGTGCTTGCGGCCACGGTGGCGGCCGGGATGGACGGCATCCGGCAAAACCTCAGCATTCCCAGTGGAAACCTGATTCAGCAAAAGAAATTCCTCATTCCCTGTAAACTGGAAGATGCCCTGGATGCTTTGGATGAAGATTGTGTTATCAGGGGGGCCTTAGGAGATGCATTTGTGCAATACTTTATTGACATGAAAAGACTGGAGATGGAAACAGAAGAAATGGATACAGAGAGGGATAAATTCCTGGAATACTTTATTTAGGATGAATGTCACATCTTGGGGCATATTTATATCTTACTGTAGTGAAACAAAGTATTAAAATAGCTGAATATTGAACATCCACAAAATAATGTGTGCTTTTAAAAAAACTAAAAGAGAATGCCTCTATAATACATTAACTCTTCTGGCATCAATCTAATTAGCAGCAAGATTACTGATCACTTTTCATGACTGTAAGCAAGCTGAGGCTTCTGTAAAATATGAACAAAAGGAAACATACCTCAAGTAACATTGATATAAACTTACATTAATTTATATATATATATATATATATATATATATATATATATATATATATATATATATATATATATATATATATATATATATATATATATACACATTAATATTACTTCTTGCAATAGTAAAATGACAGAACCATAAGGGACGATTGAATATTCCAAATAAAAAGCCTAATTGGAGGAGGAGTGCAATAAACAGCCTATCGAATATCGGCAGACGCTCACAGTCACTCGCTTACAGAAAATAAAGCTGTGGGTTGTCGATTGGATTTGCGGAGACAAAATGGATCTTACTAGAAACCGATCATTTCAAAAGAAAAAAGAAAAAGGAGCAAGTGGCGGACATCCCACAAAAAGCATCAGCTCCCTGACACCGAAAATGATGCGCAAAGTCCCAGAATCATCTTCTGTGTAGCTATTCATTGGTGATAAAATTATCTACCAAGCAGCTTTACAGCCACCTTCTGAACCCAGTCGGCAAATTTTACTGCCAGTCCCCCAAACCCCCCCCCCCCCCAGGTGTTTGGGTGGGATTTAATTTTTTATTCCATAATACGGTACACCGAAGTTTGCTGTGTGACTTGCCATAACACTCATTTCCTCATAGCCCTACATCACGATGCTACCGCCCTCTTGTGGTCAAACAAACACAAAACACTTGGCATTAAATACGACGTTATGAAGACTTTCTTTTTTGAGCTGCTTCAAACAAGGATCAACACTGTGACTCAGCGACTGATTCTGCAGCCCCACAGCCTTAGGGACGGGTGTTTGGTTGCTGCTCCTACTCTGGCTATAGAATTTCCATGTTCTCCCAGAGCTTTTATAGGTTTTCTTCTACAGTCCAGAGTGGAGCTGTCCCAACCACTAGTAGATTTTTCCTGCTGCACTAGCTGCTGAATGATCTCCATCAGCTTCCCTGTGAGCTGTTACCTGTATGACTCAGCAGAACCTGTGGCTGTAAACAAGGTTGCTGTTTCAAATCCCATCATTAGCAGAGTGATTTTACCATTGGGCCCTTAACACAGTGCTGAAGAGACTGGCTGCCCCTGCTTTCTCAACTGTACCCCAGATAAAACTGTCTGTTAGTTAAATAAACGGAAATAAATTGCTCAGAAACACCAGACGACTCTTCCCTTATTAATGAAGTACCCCTGAGCTGTCTTTATGCTGTAACCAAGAGAGTTGGATCTCCTGCAGATGAAGCCAGGTGTCTTTTTCCACCCGTCCATCTTTTATAGTATTAATCCAGGACTTGTTTTGAAAAGGTTACTTTTCACTGGAATGTATTATCAATGTGTTTAAATGCATGATTCTTTGTTGCCTTACCCTTCAACAACTCATCCAATTTGAATAATACATTTACTGAAGTCAAGGGACTGATTAATTCACTACTCACTGCTATTATGATGTCCATAAAAGGAAACCATTACCTGTAAAGGGATGTTCCCTGCCTGCTGTGGAAATCACATTAAGGCAGGCCTCTCAATGATTAAAGCACAAACGGCATAGGAACCCCAAGGACACAGTTTGTTTATTGATTTATGTTTATTAACATTCTTGTACATAAATTGTTTCCTTAACTTTGTTCCCTTTTTTGTCTAGTAAGTATTTTGTAAATTAGGGAGTATTCCTTTAAGAGTAGATTTCTTTCTCTCATGTGGCGGTATGTGTCAGGAACTCGAGGGTTTGCATCACTGGGGCGCGGCATGGTGCAGGCTGAGAAAGGAGTGGGTGATCCACTTGTGGCTCAGAGGGACACAGGGGTTTATTAACAGAAACTGAAAACACTGGGGACACTGAAAAACAAACGGACCGCGAGGGGTCATGAAGGAAGGAAGGAAGGAAGGAAGGAAGGAAGGGACTGGGAGATGAAACAGGGAACCTAAGAAACTGACAGAGAACCAAGGAAACAGAACCTAACACTAGGGGAATAACAAAGACAGGCAAAACACAACCATGGGCACAAAGCAGAAACCAAAACCGAATACAAATCACAAAACACTGGAACTAGGAAAACTAGGGAATAGGGATGCTCATATTGACCGTTTAACCGTTAACCGAAAGAATGAATTTTGACCGATTATTACTATCAGTTAAACGGTTTAAAATATTTTATATATATATATATTTTTAATTATTATTATTATTATTAGTAGTAGTAGTAGTATAAAGTTTTGCGGCATAAATATGCTACACATACGCTATTTGTTAACTCATGGGGCGTTATCACGTGCAACCACACGTGCCTTCAGACGTATTTTGCCCGGCAAGCAAAATAAAGTGAGCGAAAAGAAGTACTTATTCTTTTTATTTATATTAATTTGTTTTTCTCTGTTGTCGGAAACGCTGCAGATGCGTGAAAATTTGACGATGTGTGAATCCAGATTATGTTTTTGATATGTTCTGTGTGCTGTTGTTCGCACATGTTAAAATAAAATTGAAAAAATAATGCCATAGTGCTAAATCAGTACTTATCAGAATAATGACTGACAAGCACCGATCAGCCATGACATTCAAATCACCTGCCTAATATTGTGTGGGTCCCCCTCGCGCCACCAGTACAGCTCTGACCCATCGAGCCATGGACTCCACAAGGCCTCTGAAGGTGTCCTGTGGTATCTGGTACCAAGACGTTGCCAGCAGATCCTTTAGGGCGTACTCACACTTGGCCCAGTTTACCTGTACCGAACCCCAAGCACGATTGTTCTCACTCCGCCACTGGTCTGTACTCACGTTGCGCTTAACAATCCGGGCCTGAACACACTTTTATCATCACTGCGTAACATTTTTGTGTAGATCACATCAGACTTGTTGGTCCAGCACATCTCAAATATGCTTGATCAGATTGAGATCTGGGGAATTTGGAGGCCAATTCAACACCTTGAATTCTTTCTCACGTTCCTCAACTTTTTCCTGAACAGTTTTTGTAGTGCTGCAGGGTGCATTATCCTGCTGAAAGAGGCCACTGCCATCGGGGAACTGATGCCTTGAAGGGGTGTACTTGGTCTACAACAATGTTTAGGTACGTGGTACGTGTCAAGGCAACATCCACATGAAAGCCAATGCCATGAATGCAAGAATGGTTCTGCAGCAGAACACTGTCCACCCTGCCTCCTCCAGTTTGCCTTCTTCCCCAGATAAATGATGCACATGTGCCCGGCCGTACACATGATGTAACAGGAAACGTGACTCATCAGATCGTGTCACCTTCTTCCATGGTCCAGTTGTGACGCTCACATGCCCATTGTAGGCATGAACAGGGGTCAGCATGGGCAGTCTGACCCATCTGTAGCTACTCAGCCCCATACACAGAAAACTGTGATGCACTGTGTGTTCTGACACCTTCATAGCCAGCATTAACTTCATTAGCAATTTGTGCTAAAGAAGCTCTCCTGTAGGACAGGAGCAGACGGACTAGCCTTCGCTCCCCACGAACATCTGTGAGCCTTAGGCACCCACGACTTTGTTGCTGGGTCATAGGTTGGCATTCCTTGGAGCACTTTTGGTAGGTACTGACCACTGCATTGTGGGAGCACACCACAAGACTTGCTGTTTTGGAGTTACTCTGACCCAGTCATCTAGCCATCATAGTGTGGCCTTTATCAAAGTCGCTCAGATCCTTACATCCTGTCCATTTTTCCTGCTTCCAACACATTAAGAATTAGAATTAAGTGATCAGTGGTCATTGTCAACACACCACAGCACACAGTGCGCAACAACGAAATGTGACCTCTGCATTTAACCCATATGTGACTTTTGTGACATAGCAGGGGGCAGCTAATTCAGCGCCTGGGGAGCAGTGCTTGGGGGTGGGACCTTGGTCAGGGTACCTCAGTGGTGCCTTGCTGGTGGGGGATTCGAACCTGCAATCTTTCAATTACAAGTGCGCTACCCTAACCATCAAGCCACCACTGCCCAACTTCTCAACTTTAAGAACTGACTGTTCACTTGCTTATGTGTGTAGAATTTAATAATTTACATGCGCTTCCTGGCTCAGCCAGCAGATGGCAGTGGCAGTAGAGAGCATCGTGCAGTGAGGGGTGAGCGTGAAATACCATCAGATTTGAATGTCACTGGCTGGCCATCGCAGGGCAGCCCACTGGCAAATCTGTGCAAAAATCTGAATACAAATGCAGCCCAAGCCCATTTGTAGCTTTCTTACCAAATGCATATTTGGAGAATAACAACACTTCTGCAGGTGCCACTTACTACGAAGCATTTAAAAGTGCTTAAGATTTCAATTAAAATGGTGTCTAGAACATTAAAGGGACATATGTTTTATTTGCTCTATGAATTATTACATAATTTATTATGCGCTGTAATGGTTAACCTAATAAATCAATAAAACATTCACTTTAATAGGGGATGGAGTTGACATATTTCTGAATTATATGTAGATGGGAAGATGAGAAGGGCATGGAGCTTCCAGACTAAAGCCCAGGTCAGGGACAAGCTTTTTATGTGTGACAGAGACATGAGGCTGTCTTCTGCCTGATGTAGTTTTCTTGCAGTTTCGTCCTCGGTTAGAGCTGGAGCAGCCATCTTAGATATTGGCCTAGTTTGCCCAGCTTGTTGTTTTCGAGGGGTACAGTAAACTGCCTGTAACATTTTTCAGTCCTACTGCCAGAGGTAAGTTGCAAGAATGGTAGTTTATCCACAATCAATGCATATTCTGATGTTGATAATGTACACCCAGACATGCAATCCATTATTAATATTATGAAAAATCGAATAAAAATCTTGGACTTCGGAATCATTCGTTAGTGTTATGATAAAGTCATTTTGAGCCTCCTTCAGCTTAAGCTAGTTTCTTTCTACTCCACTACAGTAGGTGGCAGCACGCGTTTCTTCTCAGGTTCCCAAGTGGAGGGCACGTGCCTTTTATGTTTGGCTTTTTTTCCCCACTTCCGCCTGAGCGGCTCCTTCCGTGTTCCGTGCAGCCGCAGCGCCGTGACCGCGGTGTTGCTGTGCTTTCAGGTTCCTCTTTATTC